AGGGAACTGATGCAGCTGTGATATGATCAGCGACACATCTGTCTAACCCCCCCTCTGCTCCACCACCACCTCCTTTCTACCGCTTGTCTTCCTTTTGTCTCCTCGTGCTGCTATTTTCAAGCTAAAATATTCTGATGTTTTTTCCCTTCACATATGATGCAGACATGTTGTTTTCCAATAACCTGAGACAGGTAACCTCTTCAATCCATCGCTCCTGACCATAAGGAGTTAATTTGAACATGAAATACTCTTCAAATGAGACAAAATGAATGTATTTCTGCAGCATGAACAAGTTTATTTTTATTTCCTCTCCTCGGTTGAACGGGCAGAATGAACGCTTGCTTTCGTATTTGAGTGTGTTATAAGTAGGCGACAACTATTGGAACAATACGCGGATCCAGGCTGTCTCCAGTGAAGTAAATGTTAAATAAAAACGGTTGAATAAAATCCCTTGAACAGCATGAAGGGCATTAATAGACAAATAATGATTGGTAACTCTGTGACTGTTGGCACTATTTAAATAATTTAAATTCATACAAATTGTGTCATTCATTAAACACACACAACATTTTAGGAAATTTGCATTTTTGTTTGGAGTTGGCTGAAAAGACTGATATCACTTCTACTTATGCATCAGAATACTAAGTAGGAATTAACGAGCTTCTTTATGTCCAGGAAAGATATTCACACTGACTGGCAAGCAGAGAGTTTTAGGGTTTTTTGGGTTGAAATATTTTACCTCAGATTTGACTGACTTTGTCTAATTAAAGCTTTGACAGAAACCCAAATGTAACTCTCTTTATTGGGCTTTAAATTGTGCTATGCGTACACTTTATGACAAGAAAATAAACATGTTTCCTATGGGTTTTGTAATCTTCTTTTCTGCTTGATTTGCACTGTATAATTTCAAAATTATGCTTTTTGGATCTGAATATAATAAATTGTATTATAAAAGAGTATTAGAAATTCAGTGCAGACTCATATTCAGCAATTATCGCTATCATAATGAGAACTCCATAAATAGGCTACAAAATAAAACCCACCTCTCTCTCTCTCTCTCTCTCTCTCTCTCTCTCTCTCTCCCCTTCACCTCGGAGGCGTCTAATTGGTCACAGTGTCAGGTCTGCTCGCCCTCCTCCATGACGCCTGCCTGGTGGGCCTGCATCAGCTCAGGATTAACGGCAGACGGAGGACATCACATAATCACCCCCGATGAATATGGAGGAGGGCCTTCGGGTTGAGATGGGAGGATTGCCAAAAATGATAACGACCCCTCCTCCGGTAACTCCTCTGGGATCCATTTATTTCATCTCAAGGTTGTAACTAAAACAGTGGCGGTGCCTTTATGGGGGAGAGCGGCGCCGCAGCCTCTTGTGAGTTAATGTGATATAGACAAAATACGCCTACGGTTTGCTCCGTAATGTGATCTGTGCAACATCATCTAGCAAGTCAAAGCTTGAACAATTTTTGATGCAGTAAAGACCGTATGGTGCATTCAATAGGCTGAGAAATAGCCATTGAAAAAGCAACATGTAACTGTGTTCAAATGAGGTTTTATCAGAGTCGGAGGATCCAGACATTTTGCACAGTCATGTAGAGTTCATATGTAATTTATTTGTTGAATATTTTAATGCAAAGTTACATTGGTGACTGTTTTACCCACAAGACATCAGCATTTACCCTATACGCATCAGGTTGGAATCACCAAAATCCCTCTTTATATCATCAAAAAAACATTACACAACAACCTATTTTGGTTAAAAATATGACTGTATCTGGCATCCGCTCATGCCATACTCCATGGAAAAGGTTTTGATATCGAAAACTGCAAAAACGCAGACTGGGAGCCTTTTGAACCTCTCGATGGTCCTCAACATGCTAACTGAGCTGGCGGCTTACAGCTAACGGCGCTAACAGTGCTAACAGCGCAGACTACAGAGAGAGAGAGCTCACAGTGTTTGGCTGAGCGGATGACGGATGCTACGTTGTCGATTTGGACGACCGCGGTGACACGCTCACATGCACTATTTGTACGCGCACCCAGTGCGGCCATTTTGTTGCACGGGGTGGACGCTACGGTCGACGTGGGGGGGGGGTAACCAACATGGCTCGGAGTCCAATTTCTGGGCGTGAGGAATCGGATGTGTGGCGGGAGTGCGTGACTGTCACGGCGTGACCCTTGGTAGCCCCGCGGTTATGTCAACGAAGCAAGACGAGGCTTTGAACGACGCACGGAGGGAAAGTGACTTCCTGCTCTGCTCAGCGGCGCAAAGATGTTACTTAACATCTTTGAAAAGCTACACGAATGCTCTGAATGTAAAATACAGCTCTTTTAAAGCATTAATATTCCTTTTAATGGCAACGATATCTTATCAGAGGGAATGTGATCTGAACTCTTATGAGCCCGTTTGTTGTTTGTGTCTTTAACTGCAGACGTCCAGAAACGTCTCCGTGGAGAAGAGCTGTGGTTGCCGAGGTAACAACTAATTGGAACTCCTAAATGAACAACAAACAACAACACAGAATACATGAATATGGTAATCACGATGACAATGCTTAGGCTCTTGCATTGATTGGCGTTTTGTTTTTGCATTAAAGCACATTTTAGAAACGTGTGTGATAGTTAATGAGTAAACAGCAATCAATCTACAATTGAATGAATGAATTCATCCTACTTCATGTGAACTTATTTGAAAGCCTTATTGAAAAAAATGGGTTATTGACACGTCGATCCCTGGTGTGAGAAGGTCTTTTTGTTTTGTATTCTTGTAAAATTACATTACATGTCATTGAGCTGATGCTTTCATCCAAAGCGAATTACCATAAGTGCATTTCAAGCCTTCCATGAATTGTTTTGATATTCTAATCACTACGTGGGGCCATCTCTTTTATTTAATATTTACCTCATTTTACAAAATCATACAAAAAGTAAAGTAATAAGGTTTACGTTGTCCACGTAACCATGCTTGCGTTGTCTCAAAGAAGCTTGTTGCGATCGCGTAGCGAGGTCACATGTCGGGAAGTCCTCTGGTCTTGAAGAGGGAAGTGGCGGTTTCAGAACAGCTCATTGAAGCTTGTTAATATGGGCAGCGCAGGGTGTGACATGCTGAAGGATGGCGTCCCTCAGCATTAGTTATTTCCCCTTATCTCCATCAGACACTCAGCAAGTCGAGCGCCCCCCCCACCCCCACCCCGCTCTGGCCCTCTCCCACCTCCCTGCGGTTCCAATGGATGACGGCTGCGTGGTAAAGGCCACTGGGGTCGCAAAAAAAATAAACTATAATGATATGATTAAGAGCTATTTTCCGCTACTGCCATGTTTCAGACTCTTTATTTTTATATTACTGATAATTTGCTATTTAATATTCAGGCAGGAGTCCTGGAGGTGATTTGAATTATAAAATCAGACAAGCAAGAAAGAAATAGACTTGTGTTCTCGGTCGGCTGAATTGTATTATGCTAAGTGGTCGAGCTCGGTTAAAGTCACAGCCTGTTCAAGCCGTCAGACAGAGGCTCAAACAAAGAGAGCAAGGTGGCTGATATTTACCCCATGAAGAGTAAACATTTAAAAAGTAATAATATTTCATCTACTGACTTTTCCTCTCGGGCCATCGGCGCGTTACAATATCTGAACACATGCTTGATAAATTGCTGTGAAGTGTTTCTCAATAAAAGTAAATTTTTATATAATAACTGATCTGTTACTGTAAACTTGGCTCAATCATTAGTTCAACATTTTAGGTTTTTCTACTTCTCATTCGGCTAAATACCAAGAAGTGTATTGTTCCAATTAGAATGTAACTAGCCTTAATTGACTGTTCTTGGCATGCTGGCAAACAAAGCTAAGATATTTAACACAAGCAGTCTGTCGGGGACGCCCATCACCTCCGTTATGTCACTGAGGCTTTAAATCTTGTATCGCTGCACGGCTAAATCATTTGGCGAAGGCAGATCAACGATAATCTATTTCATGCCATTCAGCAGCAACAAGGCATCAGTAACAGATAACGCTCTTACAAACAAAGCCCCCGTTTGGATTCATCTTTTCAACATTCTTATTTCATTGCTCAGATAAAAGATTTTTCCATGTGTGTAATTCTGTGGCTTTATTACTCCTCCAACCTCAGAGGTTGAACCTCAAAGCAAGCGCAACAAAGCTGAGGTTGCATTATAGAAATTTGAAATATGACTTATCACGTGAAACCCTGACACTGACTTGGCCTCAATGAGAAGGTAATTTGTGGGCAAAGAGAAGAGAAACTCCCAAAGGAGAGAAAGACTTCTGAAAAGAAATTCAAACTCGTTACTTCCAGGAATCATTTTGACCGAAAATGACCTGACATGCAGGTCAACATCTGCACTGACCAACCAGGGTCAAACATTTAGATGACATGGCTAAATGGAGCATCCTGTTTCTCCCCCATAAATAACGATGCCATTACCTTCATTTATGCGGCGGTTGGTGGTTGTGAGCCTCTTGATGTGCATGCAGTCGTATTGATGGAAGGTAAGTTCATTCACCTCTAATTCACCATCACTCGGTTCTGTGAAATGCGCAAATTATTATTCAAACGAATTCCCATCTAATTGAATTACCTGTTTAAAAATGAAATTTTCAATTCATATGCACTCTCTGTGGTGACCAAAAATGGCATCATAGATTTTGTCTCAATCCTTGCAGATGATTTAAATATGTTTCATGTTAGCAGCAATGTTTGTATCACTTAAGCAGGATTTATCACATAAATGTCACATCCTACTGGACTAAAAACATGTGAATATAAAATGTACTCAAGTACAGGTAAGTATAATTAATTGGAGCCTTCTTCTGAATGAAGAGTTTTAAAATGGTTTTAAAACCAAGCAGGTTGGTCAGCATAGCAGTGTATTTGTTACTTTAACATTTTTTATGAATGTCTCTTCAGCAGGAAAATCTGAACATTGTTACAATGGATGTAATGGAAATTGATGACAGCATTTATATAAATAAGAACCACGCAATGGACGGCCTCAATAGCCAAGGTACAAAATTACTCTGAATTCAAATGGTCGGACACGATATTAAGAATATTAGGCACAAAAAAAAATGTTAGCCAGGGGCTACTAAAGTATTTGTCAATTTGAAGATTTCTGGATATATTTTTCATGTAAATTCCAATTTTGCTTTGTATTACCAGTTAACAATAATTTTGAAATTTGGGTTTCCAAAAATCCATTAGGAGGAATTTATGAGAACTCACATTTTCTGAGGAGAAAGCAGCCCTTTCGATGTGCTACCGTGTGTCTGGGGTTACTGAGTGCTGTCCTGTTGGCTGGTAACATAGCGCAGTTTGTCTACTGTAAGTAAATCTATTGTTGTCACGCAAAGTACGAACGATGTGGAATGCAAACCATGTGAGAGGAATGAGCTTTTCAAAATCTAATGACCTGAGCAATTATTAAAAATGTCTTTTGCATCTCTCAGATGAGATAATCAGCCGCCCCGCTTCAGCAGAGCCGACACAGGCCAGCGGCCGGTTTCAAGGAGACCGACTGCAGGGCGGTTGTGATGCTTCAGCTGCAGAAAGACAACAGTTGGAGGCCAAACTGAGTAACCTGACTGAAGATAAAGGCCAACTGCAGCAGAGTTACTCAGCTTTGACTGCTGAAAGGGATGAGTTCAAGGCCAGTTTCAGCAATCTGAGAAACAAGAGTGACCAGTTACAAGCAAGTTACAACACCTTAAAAGAAGAGCGCGATCAGTTGAAGACGAGCTATGACGACATGCAAAAGAGTCTTAATGAGCTACAGGCGGATCACAAGACCCTTCAAGCAACTAAAGACCAGCTACAGACCAACTACCGAACCCTGCAAAGAGAAAAGGAAGAGTTCCAGGCTTTGTCTGTTACTCTGAGAGCAAACAGAGATCAGCTACAAAGCGATTACTCTTCCCTGCAGAGGAACAAGAACCAGTTACAAGCAAGTTACAACACCTTAAAAGAAGAGCGCGATCAGTTGAAGACGAGCTATGACGACATGCAAAAGGGTCTTAATGAGCTACAGGCGGATCACAAGAGCCTCCAAGCAACTAAAGACCAGCTACAGACCAACCACCAAACCCTGCAAAGAGAAAAGGAAGAGTTCCAGGCTTTGTCTGTTACTCTGAGAGCAAACAGAGATCAGCTACAAAGCGATTACTCTTCCCTGAAGAGGAACAAGGACCAGTTACAAGCAAGTTACAACACCTTAAAAGAAGAGCGCGATCAGTTGAAGACGAGCTATGACGACATGCAAAAGGGTCTTAATGAGCTACAGGCGGATCACAAGAAAAAAGAGCAGTTACAGAACAGTTACAGAAATTTGACCCAAGTTAAAGATGAGTTAGAGAAGAAGATCAACAATGTCAGAGGTGAGGTGATCTTTTTCATAAAAGTTTGATGATTTATTTGTTACGTTATATCAGTCTGTTTTTACCTCTTTTGTGATGTTGTTCCGCTCACGTTTCCAACTTGAAGGAAAATCCTGTGAGAACGGCTGGAGGAAGTTCGATATGAGCTGTTACTTTATTTCCACTGAGGGGAAGACGTGGATGTCAAGCAGAACAGACTGCATTTCGAAAAGAGCAGATCTGGTCATAATAGACAGCAGGGAGGAACAGGTGAGAGAAAGAAAGAATTAACTGGATGAGATCAAAATCATTTTGTTAACTCAGGAAACTGCAACTACAACTAGGGGCGCATATGACGCAAAACATCCACAGCATCTCAAGTAACGCCAGTCGATGGTCCGGTTGAAGGGCGGGGCTGCGTGCGGACCCTCCCCCGGCTCAATCCGGTGATATTTTTAACATTTCTCTCTGCATTTTTACAACATTCCAACACTGCACTGAATATAGTACATTAAAGTTTAGGGTAATTGTATTATTTAACGACACACGGATACTAAATATTAAGGGGTTCCTCTTTCTCCTATAAAAAATTAATTGTCCAAATACACCAAGTAAATAACCAGAGTTATTACACTTTTTATCATGGGTGGGCCATTTTTGGAGCAGAGGCTTAAAAACAGCCTCTGGGGGGAAAAGGTACGTTCCCGGCTTGCTCCACCGAATGGATCTCTTGGTGATTCTTTATTACTGGATTTTGTATTTGTTGCACCTTTTTGAGTTCCCCCGTCATGATGGTTGTCTTTGTTGTGGACATGTTGGTTCATGAAAATTTACTGTCTGTTTCCCTGTGTCTCCCTGCTTTTGTGTTGATCCAAAGCCACCTGGAAATGTGTTTTTCACCAAAGCAAAAATACACTAAGTGAGGAAATGTGGTGGAAAGCTTTGAATACAGTAGAAATTGGAGAGGAAGAAACATCTCTTACATTAAATAAAAAGTGAAGAACTAGGAAACAGTAAGTGAAATATTTTATTGCTTTACTCTCTGTGCTCCACTAACAGGAATTTGTCAACAGCTTAATGGCGACCAAACATTGTGCCTGGATCGGAATGACTGACAGGGATGAAGAGGGGACGTGGAAGTGGGTGGATGGGACTCCAGTCAACACAACGTAAGCTTCAAGACCGAGTACATGGACAAAAGTATCTCACAGGGTCATAATATTACAATTAGGCGTGCTTGTTCATTATTGGTATTTTAATTTACTATACTAGAAACTCTGCATTTCATTTTTTTACTCTTTATACATTTTTACTGTTGGAAATAAAGACAAATTGTGACATAATCTCTACGTTCACAGTTTGGATCAGCAGCCAAAGGTCAGAGAACTTGAGAGACAACATCTGTGTGATGTTGAAAAAACATTCATGTGTCTACTCTCAGGTACTGGGAGGCCGGCCAGCCTGACGACTGGTTTGGGAAGGAGGACTGCGGAGAAACTCGACTGTTGATAAGAGAGGAAGAGTGGAACGATGACGACTGTTCTGCTTCACACATCTACATCTGCGAACAATAAAATTACAAAGAAATACTGACTAGAATACCTATTGTGTATTAATCCACAGCTGAAAATAGTCCCCAGCATACGTACACACCATTCACTCCAGTTTTAGGGACTTTTGCTACAACAATTCCAACTTTGTATTTTTTTAAAAGAAAACCTCTGTTGTACTTATTAAGAGAAATAATTTTATCATTTTATTTCTTTTTGCTTTTGAACGGAGGTTAACCTATTTGGTAGGCCAGTGACATGTCAATAACAGTAGCCCAGCCCTAAAGCATACTTTTATTAATGGTCAACTCTTTAACTCTACTGCACTAAATGAACATCATGCAGTATTGAAGGCAATTTGAAACCAGAGATTTAGACCATTAACTAATGTTTACAATGTTTACTAAGGGAATAAATCAATGGAGAAGTAAAGCTATTCTCTCATAGACTTCTATAGGACCAGAGGAGTCGCCCCCTGCTGGCCAGTAAATAGAATGCAAGTTTAAGACACTTCACTCTTAATAATTGGAGGTGCCCCCCCTGGTACTATTTCACACTATCTCAGTTGCTCTGAGCGTGTAATGAAAACACGCCTGTGCGTTGGAGTTAATTAACAATGCATTTGGATTTGGTCGTGCATGTAGACTTTTCAGCCTTCAGTTATAAATAAATAATAAATTCCATCCTGTCTTATTTCTTCTTCCATTATTTTACTGCTCTGGATACAAAGTCCTTCAAAATATATAAGGAGTCCATTCAGTGTTAATTGCTGTGCAATGTTTCTCAGTAAAACTAAAACATGCAATAACTAATCTGTTAGTGTAACGTTTCATCTGGCACCATCATTAGGTCGACATTTTAGTTTTTCTAATACTTTTGATTTGGCTAAATACCAAGAAGCGTATTTTTCCAATCAGAATGCATTTAGCCCTATTTGATTACTCCTGGTATGCTGGCAAAGAAAGCTAAGATATTAAACAGAAACAGTTGACCCGTTCAGACAGACTGCCGGGGACGCCCATCACCTCCGTTCTGGCACTGAGGCTTTATTACATTTGACGAGGGCTGATCCACAATAATCCATTTCGGTAACAAAGAACGTCATTCAGCAGCAACAAGGCATCAGTAACAGATAACGCTCTTACAAACAAAGGCCCCGTTTAGAGTAGTGAAATTATCTTCACACAATCAGACACGACAAAAAGACATTCTTATTTCATTGCTCAGATCAGATAAAAGATTTTTCCATGTGAGTAATTCTGTGGCTTTAATACTCCTCCAACCTCAGAGGTTTAGCCTCAAAGCAAGCGCAACAAAGCAGTGTTTGCATTGTAGAAATTTGAAATATGACTTAGGACATAAAAACACTGACTTGACCTCAGTGAGAAGTTAATTTGTGGGAAAAGAGAAGAGAAACTTTAGAAAGTCCGGATCCTAAAAGAGAAAATGACTTTTGAAAAGAAAAACAAACTGGTCACTTCCAGCTTGGAATCATTTGGCCGAAAATGATCTGACATGCAAGTCAAGGGACTGACCAACCAGGGTCAAACATTTAGATGACATGGCTAAAAGGAGCATCCTGTTTCTCCCCCATAAATAACGAGGCCATTACCTTCATTTATTTGGCGGTTGGTGGTTGTAAGCCTCTTGATATGCATGCAGTCGTATTGATGGAAGGTAAGTTCATTATAGATTTGGTCTCAATCCTTGTCGATGATTTAAAATGTAGATTTTTCGCATAAATGTCACATCTTACTGGACTCAACTCATGTGAATAAAAAATGTACGCAAGTACGAGTAAGCTAAAATAATTACTCTCAGCCTTCTTCTGAATAATGAGTTTAAACATTTTTTAAAAGCTTCAACATTTTTAAATATGTCTCTTCAGCAGGACAATCTGAACATTATTAGAATGGATGCAATGGAAATTGATGACAGCATTTATATAAAAAAGAACTTCGCAATGGACGGCCTCGGTAGTCAAGGTACAATATCACCCTGAATTAAAATGGACGAATGTCCACAGCCAAGTGCTACTAAAGTGTTTAACAATCAAGATTTTCAAAAATAATGTTTTTCATGTAAATTCCATTTTTGCTTTGTATTAACAAAGATTTAGAAATTTGGATTTCCAAAAATCCATAAGGAGGAATTTACACTTAACTGCTTTCTTACTTTGGATTTAGTTGTTTTTCCGAGGAGAAAGCAGCCCTTTCGATGTGCTACCGTGTGTCTGGGGTTACTGAGTGCTGTCCTGTTGGCTGGTAACATAGCGCAGTTTGTCTACTGTAAGTAAATCTATTGTTGTCACGCAAAGTACGAATGATGTGGAATGCAAACCATGTGAGAGGAATGAGCTTTTCAAAAGCTAATGACCTAAGCAATTATTAAAAATGTCTTTTGCATCTCTCAGATGAAATAATCAGCCGCCCCGCTTCAGCAGAGCCGACACAGGCCAGCGGCCGGTTTCAAGGAGACCGACTGCAGGGCGGTTGTGATGCTTCAGCTGCAGAAAGACAACAGTTGGAGGCCAAACTGAGTAACCTGACTGAAGATGAAGGCCAACTGCAGCAGAGTTACTCAGCTTTGACTGCTGAAAGGGATGAGTTCAAGGCCAGTTTCAGCAATCTGAGAAACAAGAGTGACCAGTTACAAGCAAGTTACAACACCTTAAAAGAAGAGCGCGATCAGTTGAAGACGAGCTATGACGACATGCAAAAGAGTCTTGAGGGGCTACAGGCGGATCACAAGAGCCTCCAAGCAACTAAAGACCAGCTACAGACCAACCACCAAACCCTGCAAAGAGAAAAGGAAGAGTTCCAGGCTTTGTCTGTTACTCTGAGAGCAAACAGAGATCAGCTACAAAGCGATTACTCTTCCCTGCAGAGGAACAAGGACCAGTTACAAGCAAGTTACAACACCTTAAAAGAAGAGCGCGATCAGTTGAAGACGAGCTATGACGACATGCAAAAGAGTCTTGAGGGGCTACAGGCGGATCACAAGAGCCTCCAAGCAACTAAAGACCAGCTACAGACCAACTACCGAACCCTGCAAAGAGAAAAGGAAGAGTTCCAGGCTTTGTCTGTTACTCTGAGAGCAAACAGAGATCAGCTACAAAGCGATTACTCTTCCCTGCAGAGGAACAAGGACCAGTTGCAAATCAGCTGCAATACACTGAGTACAAGTAAGGATGCTCTTCAGACCAGGTACAACTCCTTGACCAGAGACAAAGGTCAATTGCAATCCCGTCATAATTCCTTGCAGAGGGAAAAAGAGCAGTTACAGAACAGTTACAGCAGTTTGACCAAAGATAAAGATGAGTTAGAGAAGAAGATCAACAAAGTGAGAGGTGAGATCTTTATTATATATATATATATATATATATATATATATATATATATATATATATATATATAGTTTCGTTATAGCAGTCTGTGGTATTTTTATTCTCTTTTTTGATGTTGTTTCTCTCCATGTTTCCAATTTGAAGCCAAACCCTGTCAGAGAGGCTGGAGGAAGTTTGATATGAGCTGTTACTATATTTCAACTGCGAGGGAGAGTTGGAGGTCAAGCAGAGCAAACTGCAATTCAAAAGGAGCAGATCTGGTCATCATTGACAGCAGTGAGGAACAGGTGAGAGAAAGAAAGAATTAACTGGAAGGGATCTTAACTGAGTTTACTCAGCAAACAAAACACCCACAACACCTCAAGTAACCCCACTTATTTCCCAGTGTTGGGGTTTTGTTTCGGTGGTTTCTTACTTTATAGAAGTGAGGATTTATTGTGTGATGACTAAGATTGAAGCTCCCTTTCCTGGCTCCCCTTAATGGATCCCTTGTGCTGGTAATCCTTTATGACTCGTTCCTGTATTGCATTTTTGGGATTCTTTGTTGCTCCTTTTAGGGCTCCCCCGTTATGATGGTTCTCTTTGTTGTGGACATCTTGGTTTATGAAAACTCACCGTCTGTTTCCCCCTTTCTCTTTGCTTTTGGTTCGATCCAAAGCCACCTTGAAATGTGTTTTTTTTTACCAAAGCTAAAGTACGGTAAGTGAGGAAATGTGGGGCTTTGACTCTGACAAGTGAAAATGACGTGTGCAGTGTGAGAGAAGGTGACCGGTGGAGTGTCAGAGTCAGCCTGACTGCCGACAGGAAGAAACTTTTGGTGTGGCAGGAGGTCGTAGTCCTGATGGACCTCAGCCTCCTGCCAGATGGAAGGGGCACAAACAGGTTTTGTCCGGGGTGAGAGGGGTCGGCTACCATCTTTTTAGCTCGCTTCAGGGTCCTAGAAGCGAACAAGTCCTGCAGGGACGGCAGATTGCAGCCAATCACCCTCTCATCAGAGCCGATGACCCGCTGCAGCCTGCCCTTGTCCTTGGCAGTGGCTGCAGCGTACCAGACGGTGATGGAGGAGCAGAGGATGGACTCCATGGTGGCAGTGTAGAAGTGCACCATCATCGTCTTTGGCAGGTTGAATTTATTCAGCTGCCTCAGGAAGAACAACCTCTGCTGAGCCTTCTTGGTGATGGAGCTGATGTTCAGCTGTTGGTGGAGCTGTGGGGTATGGAGTCAGGACATTCTCTATCAAATCTGCAGTAGAACTCATTCAGCTCGTCTTCTCTCCGTGCTCCTCTGCCAGATGTTTGTGAACGAGATGATGACATCCGGGCAGAACGCCTGGATCGGTCTGACTGACAGCGCTGAAGAGGGGACGTGGACGTGGGTGGATGGGACTCCGGTCAACACCACGTAAGCTTCAATGGCCGAGTGTAGGACTAAAATGTCTCATCCCAACATGAGACGAAACAGCAATTGGCCATTTTTCTTTTGAAACCGTCCTTTCCTTGACAAAAAAAGAACTTTGATGCTGTATTCCATTTATTTCACTGTTTATATACGGTTTTTAATTAATTTTTTACAGAACACAGTTATCAAATATTATCATGTGTTTCAACGTGGTAGTGGATTAAATAAAGTTCAAATAATACTACAAATTTTATGGAACTAATTGTGTCCAGAAATTGTTTTTGGATTAAATTTAATTTGTCTTCATCAGGTACTGGCAGGACGGCCAGCCCAACAGCTTCAAGGGGAATCAGGACTGTGGAGAAACCCTGCAGAGTTCATCGGGGGTCGGAGAATGGAACGACAACAGCTGTTCTAATGATCAGATCTTCATCTGCGAGCAATAAGACCTGCGCTGCTTTCTCCAACATTAAATGCCTGTTGTTAGTTGCTGAATGCATCTTTTTTCAATGATATCAGACCGATGATTTATGGTAGATTAACTGTTCTACGTTAGCAGCCAACAGGACCGCACACAGTAATCCAAGAAACATCACACCTCTCGAGGGCGGCTTCATTCTCCGGAAACCCCCGAAGTCTTCCTCCTTCCTTCAAAGAGCTCGTCGGAGTCTGAGTTTGAAATGGCGGATGAAACTAAGTTGTATTGTAGTTGTATGTAGTTGCCGGACAGGCGGCGTGTCGTTAGTTATTGGGCGTAAATAGTAAGAAATCCGCCTCCCAACCAGAATCTAACTGGAGCTTCGCTGTTTAACGTGTCATTAGCTTTAGAAAGCTGATATTACAGGTTTATGCAAGATGGAAACCTTATTGGAATAAGGCCTATTCTATCTACATAGACTGATATATCTAAAGCAAGGAAGTGCCATCAGGATATTGAACTAAATCCAGTTTTGACTTTAATTTATAATTATTAAGTACGTATATACGTTTAAAACTAAACTAAAACTAAAAGTCAAATACGTTGTCAGCAAAGTGACATTGCTGACAACGTATTTGACTTTCTTTCTGGAGCAATAGCTCGTCTGGCAAAAACATACTGGCTCATTACAGTATAATGCTATTATGATGAAATAAACACAACTTATTATAGTCTGCTGTGTCTGAAATCACAAATCATGTCCTAATCTTCAGCAAAGTGCTTTTGTCGCAGAAATAAAACCATCGTTTTCAGAGTGGATGCAAAGTTTTTTTAATTCCTAATATTCCTTCTGAAGGCATGTATTACCTCGGCTAACGAGGCTTTCCATTCTGAGGTTGTTACCTATAAATGTGTCGTTATCAACTTCCAATTTTCTGTTTAAACATGTTTGTATATCATCATATAGCCATAATTGTTCATCTTTGATAAGTAATCAAACACTCTTTTTGAATCACTATTCATAAGTCTGTTGCTTACTTGTGCTTGACTTAACGATAATCTCCCGAATATTGAGTCGAGTCAGAGTTAATCCTGTTTAATTAATACAAAATTAATTTCTAACACAAAGTGGCTTCAGTTCTGCACGGACACAGTATTTCAATTTCAATGAGGTGATGATAATCTGCACAAGAACCTGGAGTCAGGAGTTGTATACACACCTTGGAGCTGAGATCAATATGACTGATGTGACATGTTGATGCTGCTGATTCATAAGAATCACAACGAAAATGAAAATATTGGGCCGAAAACAGGAAGCTCCTTCAAAATGATTGACGAAAATGTGACCCCGACTGGTCTGAGAAAAAAAAAAAATCTATACAAATCAACCACACGTCCTCATCCTCAGTTCAGTTCACACAGAAGAGCTGTTGCTGTTTTCCTAAGATCAGACCTGCAGTCATCCCTGGCTTCTCTTCCCTCATCGAGCAGTTGAACTGAAACATTTTGCTTACTCAGGAAACTGTAATAAGTGGGGCATGTAAAACAAAACATCCACAACGCCTGAAGTAACGCCACTTATGTCCCGGTGTTGGGTTTTGTTTCTTTGTGTTCCTGGTTCATACAATTGAGGATTTATTGTGTGACGACTAATACCACCGTAAAGTCTCCTGTACGCGTACCAGGCCAGAATCATACCAAAACCGAACTATCGGGTACTCCTCCTGAACAAATCCGTGAATGACACGGCTAATAGCACGAAGAGATCCGTTGTTCAATGACGTGAGGATTGACTGTGGAAACCTACACCCAAACCCCCCCGACGCCACCACACAGCAGCGAGGTCATTTGTGAGACGTGCAAGATGGCGGATGGCCGCATTGCACTTCAAAAACACACTGGAATAAGTTCATAATTCTCATAAAACGCCAAAGGTCGGAGATATTTATGATTCATACGTTGCAACGGCTTGATGTTTTTTTACTCTCAATTTGGCATGTTTGTCCGTGAGAAATGTAAAAAAAATCCCCGGGTGCAGTGACTTTGCTGACAACGTATTTGACTTTCTTTCTGAAGCAATAGCTCGTCAAAAATATACTTGCTCAATGCAATATTTCTCAATACAGTATTATGTGACTGAAATCACAAAAGACAAAATTGAACTGAAACCAAAAGCAAAGTGCTTTTGCTGCAAAAATCCCAAAAATAAATTTGAGTCTGGAAGCTTTTTTTAATTCCTAATATTCCTTCTGAAAGCATGTATTCAGGGTGATAGCGTACCGTGGCTAACGCGGCTTTCCATTCTGAGGTTGTTATCTATAAAAGTGTCATTATCAACAATATTTTTCTGTTGAGGAAACATGCGTGTAAATCCACATATGTATGTATATTATCATATAGCCATAATTAGTTCATCTTTAACAAGTCATTAAACACTCTTTTTGAATCACTATTCATAAGCCTGTTCATTATTTGTGCTTGACTTAATGATAATCTCCCCAATATTGAGTCAAGTTAGAGTTAATCCTGTTTAATTGCATCATACAAAATTAATTTCTAACACAAAGTGCCTTCAGTGCCACACAGTCACAGTATTTCAATTTCAATGAGGTGATGATAATCTGCACAAGCACCTGGAGTTGTATACACACCTTGGAGCTGAGATCAATATGACTGATGTGACATGTTGATGCTGCTGGTTCATAAGAATCACAACAAAAAATGAAAATATTGGGCAGAAAACAGGAAGCTCCTTTTTGCCCATGCCATCAAAATGTTTGACAAAAATGTGACCCCGACTGGTCCGAGCAAAAAAGAAAATCTATGCAAATCAACCACACGTTCTCATCCTCAGTTCAGTTCACACACAAGAGCTGTTGATGTTTTCCAAGGACCTTCAGGCCTGGGGTCCACTGGTAGGCCACCTTCCCCCTCGACATGTTGGTCCATGGCCAAATGTCCTGACGTCCAAATGGATTCTTTATTAAGGCTCCCCAAAGTCATCAGGGTCCATCCTCTGGGGACCATGACAACCAATCTAAGAGTTGTCAATCGGAATAAACCTGAATTTTAATACCAGTATCTGGTGGGTAAATTAGTAATAAAAGAAATACGTTTAGTAACTTTATTTTTCCCAAAGGAGATAAAAAACTTAAAATACTTCTTAGTTAATCAGAAGCATCTTTATTGGTTCCAGGCAAAAATAGACCACAGAAGAAAAAACGGCTATTCTTTGTTTCTGGACCATCACAAAGGTTATCTATGTAAAAAGAGGGGGGGTGGGGGGGGGCGTGAATGAGAGAACCGGTTATCGTGTTGACATGAGCCGGACCCTCGTGACACTTGATGTTTTGATTTTCACTCAGCGGGGGGGGAGTGGCAGGCTGTCAGGGCAGCTGCTGTGCTGTACTCGAGTATTGATTCCACCCCCCCCCCCACGTGGAGCACTTAGGGCCTCCTCCGGCGGGTAAGAGACGCTAAGTGGTCCTCCGCCTCTGGCAGCTGGATTTGTTTGAAGCGCTTCAGGCAGATTAGATGGTGCTGAGCTCTGGATTAAGGCTCCGTGGAGGCTGATCTCGAGTCTGCAGCTACACGTACCGTCGATGTTCCTTGGTGCCTTATCAGGAAGATTAACTCTCAGTATCGCTGCAAGTTTGGAGATTAATAAAGCCTCAGAGATGGAGCGGAAAAGAAGAGAATAATACAGGTTTTCGGTTCTATATCTTGAAAGGAAATATAATAAAAAAGATGAAAATGTGAATTATTCAGAGCCACAGGAGGAAGTTAATGTATTATTTAATGTTGCATCCCATGAGGGAATGGTTAGTTGACTGTCTAAAACTCTTATAAATCTCTTTGTAAACCTTAGATTTACTATCATTCTAAAATATCCGCGTACCTACAGTGTATGTAGAGAATATTGTACTAAAAAGCGCGTTTGGAAGTTAGGCACCAACATTGAGAATATGAGGGATTCAAGTCCACGGTCCGTGAGGTGAATGGCGTGTTTTATTTTATCTTCCTTCTCGCTCTCAGCTGTAACCATGGTAACCAGACCCTCTAACAGTGTCCCCGAAAATACGAATGAGAAGTCCACCCATTCAACCCATTTCATATGATGTACCAGAGTTTATTTTTCCCTTTTCAAACAACATTGATATTTTAACTCCATTTAAAAAGTTTGGGCCAAGAGAGCAGAATCTTAAAAAGGTTGCAAACACATAAAAAAGCAGTATACGCCAAAGCACCAATAAAATAAAAACCACATAAAAGCAGGACACGGACTGCACGCTGAGCGAATCAGGGGTCAATACTATACATCTCTTGGGTAAACTGCTCCTTATTGAGTACGTATCGCTGATCACAGTTCATAAGGATACATCACGCCGTGCAAAGTGAATTACTTGAGCAGCATCAGTGAAATGGAGGCGGAGCTCTACAGAATAAATCAGCTCTGGGCGGAATGGTTTTAACGGCAAACACAGACACGATGACCTTATACACCGGCGACAACATGCCGCAATGCATGTTGGGTTGACGCAGGTGCCAATCATTCTTCATCAGACCAAGGACAGGAGGGGTGAGGGGGAGGGGGGTCACAAGCTGTTGCCTCTGCTTTTATCGGGCGTGAATCGGAGAGCATACGAGTGTCAAACACGCACTCTTCTCGGTGGGAGCGTTGAGGTCACGCTGAGAGAGCGATGCTGCGTCCGGCTGCTCTCTCACAGCAAAATGGTAAAAGTCCTTCATGTGTGAAGGTTGTAAATGTTACATTTGCATCTGGCTGCAGGGTTTTTCCTACCAGATTGGATACGTTAAATGTGCTGATTAATCTGACGATTACTGTATTGATTCATAAATACATGTAATGTTTTAAAGCTGTACAGATGTGTCTTGAGAATGAAAGCAGAGACTTGAGGGGGGGGGGGAGGGGGTCGTTTCTGTCCTCCTCCCCTCCAGGTGTTTCCTGCAGGCCGACGGACTGATGCACGCTGCGGCTCGGGCCGACCTCACCGCGGGGGGGACCCGGGACCACACAGCCTCCCCCGCCGCATTCCTCAGGCAGCCGGGACA